GTAAATTATTTCATTTTTTACAGCCTGCATTGCCTCATCTGTACCATTGGCTAAATAAGAAAAACCTTTAGGGTTGTGATAAACAACATAAAGTAATTAAGTACTTAATTAAGAAATTAATTAAGTAATTAAGTACCTGATACCTAGAAGTCATTATTATTATTAGACATATGATTTAGATCAAATGATCTGATTGCTGTCAGGTTTACTGTTGGTGAGAACCAACTGAATACAGCCACAATGATGCTGCTGGACTGCCAAAGCTAGGTGGGAAGTAAATACAGTTTCCATCTGCTTTCTTGACACATTTGCTCCTGGGAAGCTCCATCCCAGCCCTTCCAGTCTTCCCAGGTGAGGGTCCTGTCATGGAGCCGGGACATTGTGGGGCAGGACAAGCTTTCTCCACCTTGCTCTGTCTGACCGGCTGACCCACAGCATCTGTGAGCATAATAAAATCATGTAAGTGTTTAACACTACTAGACTTTAGGGTGTTTTGTTACAGCAATGGTTAAGCAGAAAAAAAAAAATTCCTGAGTTCCTAAGGTGAGTGGAAGTGGCAGGCCTGCCTTCTATTTCATCATGACTGTGGCACAGACCACATAAACTCTCCAAACTTCCATTTCTTCCTCTAGGATAGGAACAGCCCTCCTATCAAGTATAATATAAGGTCAAAAGGCAATGGAGATAGAGCTTTTTGGAAACATCGCTGGTGAAAAGCAAATGGTGCACACTGCTCCTCCAGTGAGCTTTTCTGTCAGCTGGTGACCAGCAGGCAGTGACTCACATGTGCTTTCTGGAAAGCAGTGATTAGTCCAGCTTAATGGATCTAGGTGGAGCTCTTGCATTGGGTGAAAACCAAACCCAGAGTCTCAGAAGTTCCCATAGAACAGACAGACAGACAGACAGACATGAAACAGGCTCTCCAGCTGATGCTGATCTCACTCTCATATAATGACAATGCCAGCTTGTGGGAATGCTTTTTGTTCTGGTAATGGGAACTAAGAACCCCCTTCAGCCTTCCAGAAGTCATATATGCTTTGTGCCTGCAGCGGGCAGCCTAGGTCTGGGGTGCTTGCTTTCTCCTAGCCTGGGTACCTTTTCCATCAGTCTTCTCCAAGGAATGCTTCAGGACTTGGGCCTGGCTTTATTGATTTTACACCTTGAAGAAAAAGACTCTGTTTCTGTACTCAATAGAACTCTCTGTGACTTGACCCCCAGCTAATTTTTTTTTAGCAATAAGAGATAAAATGTCTTTTTTTCTTTTAAAATATTGTTTGATTTGTTTTGTTTTATTTTGAAACATGGTCTCACTATGTAGGCCAGGCTGGCCTTGAACTCTGGATCCTCCTCTCTCAGCTTCCCGAGTGCTAGGATCACAGATGTGCGCCATCATGCCTAGTTGTCAAATGTCTTTTAATATTTAAAAGCTTTTTATTGTTGTTGTTTTGAGACAGGGTCTCACTATGTTGCCCTGAACTCCTGGACTCGAGTGATCCTCCTGTCTCTGCTTCCTGAATACCTAGCTACTCAGGGACTACAGGTGTATATCACCACTCCCAGAAAAATTACAGTGATTCTGATGCACCTCTCCCACCTGTTGCTAGCATACCTCTCCCTTGGGTGCTTTCTTCTCTTTGGCCTCAAAAGACTTCTTCATTAGCCAGTTAGGAGTGAAAGTTGGTCTTATTACTTATCACCTGTGAAATTAATTTAATCCTACCTCTTAGGTCAGAGAAGTCACAGTGTACTGAATCACTCTACCATGCAACTTATAATAGGTTTCATTCACTTAGTCTGAAAATCTTCAATGAGATTTTTGCTAAGTGCCAGACATGATGAGCCTAGATCCTGGGTTAACACTGGTGAAGAGGGTAGTCCCTACGTTCCAGGAGCTCCAGGGCAGTAGAAGAAATGAAAAGTACACAGGGTGGTAACAGTGTGGTAATAGCCACGAAGGAGGAAACCAAGACTCTAAAGAGAGCTCCCAAACCAGACAGACACTGGGGCTCAGAAAAAGCTTCTTGGAGGAAAGGATGTTTAAATTGAGACCTGAGGAACTAGCAGGAGTTGGAGGATGCAGTAGAGGGCAGGGTGGAGGGGAAGGTGACTAAGGCAGAGAAGGGCGGGTAGGCAGGCTGGAGGCAAGGGCATGGTATTTATAGGGAACTCCAGGTGATCCTATAAGGCTGGAGCCTGAATATAAAGCACAAAATAAAGGGAGAGGAGATGCTGGGGTAAGTGACAGGCAGCTCATAGGAGCCTGGACTTCAGCATTTGAGCACCTAGCTGGCAATACGAAGAATGGTCAGTGAGCACAAGAGTGAGGCCAAACCCAGGAGGTGCAGCAAGTCACATATGAGGAACATCAACACTCTCACATCCCACCCCATCCGCAGGGGGATCAGAACGTAGGAGCAAGCTGGGTGTGTGCCTTACATGCCATGACAGTTTCTGGAGGATTCTTACACAGCAAGCTCAGCTTCTGTCTGCTGAGTCAAGAAATGAAGCAGAAAGCAGCATGGCTGAACTGGGGCTGAGACCCAGTCCCCAGAGCAGGGACTGGAGGGCCATGTGAACTTGCAGTGAACTTGGGCTCTGCTTTCCTTCTCTATGAGGCAGAGGCCAGCCTGGGAAGCCCTGGCCTTGTCTGGGCCTTGGGGACCATCCTAGCAGGAAATTGCTTCTCTGATGAAAGCCGAATGTCAAGAGGAAGGGAAAAAGTGAAGTTGCAGAATTTTCTCCCTGTAATCCTCACCACACCCCAAAGAAAACAAGTGTGACTCACCAACTTCATCAGTGCTGAGGAGGGGTTGGGGGAAGCTGCTTGCTGCTGCTGGCCAGTCTTGGGGTTCTGACTCCCTGCACTCCTCTGGGCTCACATGTTGGGGTCTCTCTTTGGTAGTCATGGAAGGAGGAAGCTGGTCCTTTTCCATCCTACCTCTTTCCCCACAGGTTTAGATACCCTTTCCTAAGCTTTTAGCTCCCAAGCTGTAGCCAAGTGGGGTCAGGAAAAGACACTGTATTATGATCAGGGATGAGGAGGACATTTTTGATGCCATTCCAAGGGCCACAGACTAGGAGTGTCTGCAGCTGGTTCAGCAGATGGGGAGGCAGAAAAGTCACGGAAGGTGAACAGGATTCAAGGTCAAAATTCCAATCCTACCATATGGTCGCTGAGGACTTTGGGTGAGTAACTTAAGTTTTTATTGAGTTTCTGTTAACTTGACTCTAGAGTGAGACTAATCATGTCTTGCTTGGAGGGCTACTAGAAGTCATCTCTCCCAGCATCTTAAACAGAATAGGTGCTCATATAAGAATAATAAAACAGGTATTGTCTACCCAACTCACGACACTTCTCCTGCCGTCTTTGTGCTGGACTTGACTTCCTCAGCTAGCCTCACATGCAACTTGAGGGCAGTAACTATTGTACATCCTTCCCTTCCCATGCCTCTCTCATTTAATGTTGCTCAGGACGTATTTCCTGGCAGACTAACATATCCAGATGTTGAGGTCTCTGGGGAAAACAATAATGCTTAACACTCTAGCATCCAAGGCACACAGAATCCCCCCATAATGAGTAAAATACAGGAGTATTTGCAAACCTTTTCTCCACCTTAGGAGTGCCTTAGAAGAAACCAGTCAAGGGAAGAGGTAACAGAGTAGTGGTGAACTGCACAGGACTGGAGCTGCACTTGTCTAGGGGCATTCACGTTCTCCAGTGGTATGAACTTGGGTGAGTAGGAACTCATCTACAAAATGGGAATAATCAGAGTACCTGCCTCCTAAAGTCATTGGGAACATTTAAAGATATGTGGAAAGCATTTAGAATAGTGCCTGGCATGGGGTCAACCATTACACCCACCACCACCACCACCATCATCACCATCACTATCACCATCATCAACCATCAAAGCTTACCTCTGTGTGCTAAGCTGGACTCCACCTGTTAAATGGCAACACTAGAATTCTCATCCAATAAATGATCCTGCCACCTAAGGGAGAGTCCACACTGGATGGCAGAGGGCTGTAGAGCTGGACTGCCTTTCTGGAATAGCCACATGGCAAGGTAACTTGTGAAAGTGTCTTGCAAAACATAAATGTATTGCAAATATTATAGCTTTGTTTCTCTTATACTTCAAAATCTAGAAACAATGTTGTCAACAGCCACCTAGTTCCTATTCACTTGACAACTTAGCAGGAATTAGATGCTGTGCCCACTGCTTTTCACATGTCTCCTCACCTAATGTTCCCCAAAAGTTAGAGCTATTTTCATCCCTCATTTTGTTTTTGGTGGTGGTACTAGGGTTTGAACTAAGGGCCTTGCACTTGGTAGGCAGGCACTCTACCACTTGAGCCACTCTGCCAGCCCTTTCTGCCCTGGTTATTTTGAGATAGGGTCTTGCTTTCTGCCCAGGATGGTCTGGAACATGATCCTCCTGACCTCTGCCTCTCAGACTTGAACCTGAATCCTGATGGTGGCACCCAGCCCTCATCCCCCATTTTAAAGATGAGGGGATGACACCTAAAGGTTACTCGAGGTCTCAAGTGGACTCAAACTCAGGTCTGTTGGCTCCAAGTCTATGCTCTTATCCATGGTATCATTACTTGTGGGCTGAATGTAAATGTTCTAAGATGAGTAAGAAGACAGTGGCCTAAGATTTCTGAGTTCTGCCTCTGTCCCTTCAACAGGCCCAGGACACCTCGCATTCCAAAGCATACGGCTGTGCTTTGCTGCGTGAATCTGAAAATCATCTTCTTTCCACATCCAGCTTTCTCCATCTGCCTTGGGAGGACCCAGAACACAGTTGATCCTACTCAGATAGAAAATTACAGTTTCTGAGTCAAAGGATTTTCAGCCTAGCTCAGCAACCACTTGTTTTCTGGCTAGGACATCAAAACAAAACATAATATCCTCCTACTCCCAAACAACAAAAATCTGTTTTCTTTCTAAAAATGCAAAGAGCACTTTATAGTTAAGGGAAAAAAAGGACAACAAGCAATAGTAGCTTATTCTGCTTTAATATCCCAAAATTAAAGCTGAACAAGGCAGAAATCTGTAGATAAGTACGTCTCACTCACAGGAAAACTGATTGTAGAGAAAGCACAGAAATTGCATTTTGTTGACTTACATGTAAACAATGAATGGGAACAAGATTCACCAAAGAGAAAGGAACTCGCACTGTCATTCTGTCGGCACATCCTAAAGATGAAAGATGGCCTTGCTCACTGGTACTCAGCCTCCACTTTACACTGGAGGGTAAACAGCGCCTGATGCTAAGGAGACAAATGCCCACCCAGCGGCAGTGCAGAAGGGCATGAGAAGGAGCTGTGGTTAGGATGAGCCCACAGGTCCTCTGTCCCTCTCCCACACAGCTCCCACAGGCATCTCCACAAGCAGTGCCTGGCAAATACTGTCCATCAACAGCAGGAAAGTGGAAAAATCAAATCCTAAAAAGCCTGGGTCAATACTTTGTTTCTGTCCATGCTCCTCAATCCAATGGTGTGACTAGGTCTTGAGTGGAGGGACGCACTGTTCAGACTGTCTTCTTATGTAATGACGGTGGGTGCAGTGCGTCCTGTCCTCTCCTGGAGCTGGGACACCTTCAGCGCAATGGAAATAAGCGGAGCCAACATGACCTGAGAAGAGAAGACAAACAGAAGAAACTTTTCCATCACTTTCTCTAAACAGATCCCTGGCTCCAGCCCTAACTTTGCCCCTGACTCCAGAGCCATATGTCTAGTTACCTTCTCCAGGTCTCTAGAGCTCCTTAAACTCTGGAAGTCTAAAACCGAACATGTGTTCTCTCTCCAAAACCTAGTTCAGTAACTAGATCTATGTTTATCACCGTATACCCATATTAACTCAAAATGGATCAAGGATCTTAATATCAGACCCCAAACTCTAAAGTTGATACAGGAAAGAGTAGGAAATACTTTGGAATAGGTATAGGCAAGAACTTTCTCAATGGAACCCCAGTGGCTCAGCAACTAAGAGATAGCATAGATAAATGGGACTTCATAAAACTAAAAAGCTTCTGCTCAACAAAAGAAATGGTCTCTAAACTGAAGAGACCACCCACAGAGTGGGAGAAAATATTTGCCAGCTATACATCAGACAAAGGACTGATAACCAGAATATATAGGGAACTCAAAAAACTAAATTTTCCCAAAATTAATGAACCAATAAAGAAATGGGCAAGTGAACAAACAGAACTTTCTCAAAAGAAGGAATTCAAATGGTCAAAAACACATGAAAAAAATGCTTACCGTCTCTAGCAATAAAGGAAATGCAAATTAAAACCACACTAAGATTCCACCTCACCCCTGTTAGAATAGCCATCATCAGCAACACCACTAACAACAGGTGTTGGCGAGGATGCAGGGGAAAAAGGAACCCTCATACACTGCTGGTGGGAATGTAAACTAGTACAACCACTCTGGAAAAAAATTGGAGGCTACTTAAAAAGCTAGACTTTGATCTACCATTTGATCCAGCAATACCACTCTTGGGGATATACCCAAAAGAATGGGACTCAGGTTACTCCAGAGGCACCTGCACACCCATGTTTATTGCAGCACTAGTCACAAGAGCCAAGTTATGGAAACAGCCAAGATGCCCCACCACTGACGAATGGATTAAGAAAATGTGGTATCTATACACAATGGAATTTATGCAGCCATGATGAAGAATGAAATGTTATCATTCACAGGTAAATGGATGGAATTGGAGAACATCATTCTGAGTGAGGTTAGCCTGGCCCAAAAGACCAAAAATCGTATGTTCTCCCTCATATGTGGACATTAGATCAAGGGCAAACACAACAAGGGGATTGGACTTTGATCACATGATAAAGCAAGAGCACACAAGGGAGGGGTAAGGATAGGTAAGACACCTAAAAAACTAGATAGCATTTGTTGCCCTCAACACAGAGAAACTAATGCAGATACTTTAAAGTGACTGAGGCCAATAGGAGAAGGGGACCAGGAACTAGAGAAAAGGTTAGTTCGAGAAGAATTAACTTAGAAGGTAACACACATGCACAGGAAATCAATGTGAGTCAATGCCCTGTACAGCTATCCTTATCTCAACTAGCAAAAACCCTTGTTCCTTCCTATAATTGCTTATACTCTCTCTTCAACAAAATTAGAGATAAGGGCAAAATAGTTTCTGCCTGGTAGCGAGGGGTTGGGGGGGTAAGGGAACAGGCAGGGGGAAGGGGGGAGAAATGACCCAAACATTGTATGCACATATGAATAAAATTTAAAGAAGAAAAACAAACCTAGTTCAGTGAACCAACACCATGGTCTAGTGTGTAAAGCAAATCACTACACCATTCCTGACACCTTCCTTCCCACCTTCCCTGGGTCCAATGTATAAGGAAAGCTTGAGTGACTTTTACCTTCCAGATACCTCAGAGAAACCCAGTTCTCTCCATCCTGCAGCCATAACTCCTGCTAAATAATGTTCTCTCTCTTACTGAAGCAACAGTGCCTCCACATGTACTTTTGAATCCTCTGATTTATTTCTCACACTGTACTCAAAGAGATCTTTCAAAATGCAGCCTTCCTTCCACACACATCCTTCTCACTGAAGGGGAAAAAAAATTCTGCTGCTTAAATAAATAAGCATTTTTATATTAAATAGGGGAAACTACTTTTCTAGTTGAGCCGCCCATTTTACAGATGAGGAAACTGATACCCGAAGAGGTGAGGTGATTTGACCAAGTAGTCAGAAGTAGTACCTTTCCTTTTGCTGCTTTCTCTCATCTAAATCTCCACCAACTCGTGACATCTGGATTGAGAGATAACCAAGTCCTGCTGGGACCACCGCTTGTCATTCCCACTGGGACGTGGACAGTCCCAACAAAGCACCGAGGCTGAGGCACAGCAACTAGAGAGTAAAGGAGGGCACCTCCCCAGCTGGATGGTGGTGTGCACATGGACACTGTGAAGCTGTCAGAGCTGTCCCACCTCCTGGAGAGTTTGGTTCAGAAGAAACATATCTTTCACTCATTCTTTCTATCTACCATGTGCCAGGCTTTTGTCTTGAGGATAAAAAGAGAAAAACACAATTTTCTTCTTTCTTTCCTCTTGCTCTGTCATGCCAAGAGCCTATGAGGCAAATCCATGGCTGTGGCCTAAGTGTCAGGGATGCCAACAACACAACAGGGAACTAGTGATTGTGGAAGTTGGAGCCTGGCTACTAGAAAAAGTATAGAAGTGGGACATTCTTTCTCCTCCCTCTTTCTGTAATAAAAGTAACTATGCCAGTTTTATGGTGTGTCTACTCAAATTCATAGACCTGGAAAGCAAAGTGATGGTTGCCAGGGTTGAGGAGAGGGGAGACGGGGAGTTGTTCAAGGTGCATCAAGTTTCAGTTTTGCAAAATGAGAATGCTCTGAAGATCTGGCGGACAACAATGTAAACATACATGCTACAACTCTATGCTTAAAAATTATTAAGACGGCAAATTTTATGTGCTAAGGTTTTTTTTTTTACAATCAAAAAATGGGACAGAAAAAAAAGTGACTCTCAAAAGTTAATCCTCTGTGTCAGTGTTGGAGCATTTAGCATTCCTTGCCTCCCTAAATCCCTACAACTCTATGAAATTCTTATTCTGCCATTTTGTAGACAAGAAAACAAGAGACACATAAAAATAAAATTGTTTACCCAGAGATGCACAGTTATTTAATGATAGGAATGAAATTTAAACTAAGAAATCTGTGTCTGGGTGTGGTGACATGAGTAATCCTAGCTACTCTGGAGCTGGAGGCAGGAGGACTGCACCCTGACACCAGCACATGGAAACAGCATTTGCCTAGCAAGCAGGAAGCCCTAAGTTCAACACTCAGTGCCACAAAAAAACAAAAACCAAAAAAACCCTCACCAACTCCAAAACCAAAACCTATGCTTGAACCCATCATGCTAGAAGTTTCCAAATGAGTTTTACAGGATTTTAATTAGATGTTGGGGAAGAAAAAGGGCTTTGTGGAAAAATAAGCAAGGCAAATGCTATATATCGTACCTTAATATCGTACCATAATATTTTAATAAAAATTATATTTAAGATATCAAATATAATATTTTTTGTTTTAGTCTACTTTTTTTGTGGTAATGGGGTGAAGTCAGGACCCCAAATATGTTAGGCAAGTGCTCTACCACTGGAACCACTGCACCAGTCCTTTTTTGTGTTTAGTATTTTCTTTTTTTGTTGTTGTTTTTTTTTTCATTTTTCTTTTATTATTCATATGTGCATACAAGGCTTGGTTCATTTCTCCCCCCTGCCCCCACCCCCTCCCTTACCACCCACTCCGCCCCCTCCCTCTCCCCCCCGCAATACCCAGCAGAAACTATTTTGCCCTTATTTCTAATTTTGTTGTAGAGAGAGTATAAGCAATAATAGGAAGGAACAAGGGTTTTTGCTGGTTGAGATAAGGATAGCTATACAGGGCTGTGTTTAGTATTTTCAAGATAAGATCTAGAGAACTATTTGCCCTGGCTGTGATCCTCCTGATCTCTGCTTCCCGAGTAGTCAGGATTACAGGCGAGAGCCACCAGCATGCCTGTGGCTGCTGGTATCGAAAAATAAGGTTTCCATATATATATAAAAATAAATAGTGAACTGATTACTATAGTTAAATGGATTAGCATACCAGTCTCTTCACAAAGTGACCTTTTCTGTTATGGTGGTGGCACTGTGTGAAGACACTAAAGAGTACTCTCTCAGTAAATTTCAAGCATCCAGTGCAGCACTAGTAATCACAGGCGTCATGTTATACAGTAAGTCTCAAATACAACACCCCACTTACCCTTTAAACAACACCTCCCCACTTCTTCCAGCCCAGTCCTGCTAACTACCCTTCAACTCTCTTTTCCTATGAGTTAAACATTTTTTTTTTAATCTTCCACATATAAATGAGATCCCATGGAATTAGTCTGTGCCTGGCTTGTGCCACTCAGCATAATGTTCTCCAGGCTCACCAGGATTGCTGCAAATGGCAGGACTTCCTTATTTTCTAAGATGGAATAATTTTTCACGATGTGATTGTGATCCATCTTTATCCCTTCATCTGCTGAGGGACACGCTGGGTTGTTTCCAGATCGTGGCTATTGTGAATAGTGCTGCAAGGAACGTGGCTATCTCTTCAGAATAATGATGTCAGCTCCTTTGGATGTATACCCAGAGGAAGGGCTACTGGAAAACATGGCTGTTCTATTTTTAATTTTTTCGAAATTTCCATCCTGTTTACCAAAATGGCTGTACCAATTTATATTCCTTCCAACAGTGTACATGTATGTTCCCTTTTCCCACCTCCCCATAAACACTTATCTTTTGTCTTTTTGCAACAGATGTCCTGACAGGTGTGAAGTTACAGCTAGCTCATCATGGTTTAGATTTGTACTTCCGTGATCATGAGCAATGTTGACCGCCTTTTTATATATGGCTGTTTGTATGTCTTTGGGAAAATATCATTTCAGCAAACACCATTTAAAGGGGCATTGTAGAGCCTTTAGGATACAGTGTGTGTTATGAACCACCAAAGAAGGGAACACACTTCTTTTTGTGGCTGTGAAGTCAGGGCTGGGAGCAAGATGAGTGCTGTGAGGGTACATGTGGGGAGCTCTCCTGGGCCTCACTCCTTCCTGTTCCTCCATTTCAGTGGCTGTCCTCCAACTTCTCTGTCTCCCCACCTAGATCCCAAGGTCTCTTCTCACTCTGACATACTCCTGAAGAAGGCTGTGGGTGGGGCTGGGAACTCAACCCATTAGACTGCAAATCAGCAGACTTTTCTGTGAAGATACCTAACACTGCCTCTCCCTGCAAGTGATGCACCATGATGAGTAAAGGGCCAGAACACCACTTCAGGGGCTGATGTAAAGATTAGTTATCTTAAATCTGCCAGTTACTGCAACCTATTAGCTGTTTCTTAACCTCCCTGTGCCTTACTTTCCTTATCTGTAATGGGGAGAATAATAGTTTATATCACTTGAGAATTAAATGTGATGAGCTCAGAAGAGAGTTTGGCAAGTAGTAAATGCTCAGATAACTGTTTATTGCTATTGATATATTAATATTACCATTATCTGTCATTGTTGCTGTGACATATTAAAGGACACAGAGAGGACAGCAAGCATAGCTGGTATCTGACGGTCACTGAGAAGTGCGTTTTGATAGCACAGGCTAGGGGAACCACTGTTACTCTCTCCATCAGAAAGAACTTGTCAGAGCACAGGGCGCACGCATTACCTGGGGGTCCTGGTTGATCTTGGTGACATCCTTTTCATAGCTATCGATGTACAGTCGAATGGTGGCTCCCGCACTCCCCGTGCCACTCAGTCGGAAGATGATACGAGATCCATCTGTAAAAATGAGCCGCAAGCCCTGGAAAAGATACGTAGAGATTTTTTCTCTTGTGTGCAGTAAGGGAGACTGAAGACTAGCAAACTGTGAGGAGTCCGTTTAGAGGCCTAGTCTCACCCATGCTTGACCAGTCAGAGGATTAGATCCTTGGCAAGTGGTAGCAACTGAGCCCCACGAGTCTGTCCTCCAACCACCTCTCAACTACACCCTGAAAATGAAGCTTAGCTAATTTGGGAGAAGCATTTCCAAGGTCAGGTGGGAGACACGATCTTGGGGATGCTAGATGATAGGAGGGCTTGGCACCCCACTTCCCTGTGACACATGGACTTGCCATTCTAGTATGAAGCTTAATAAATAAGTGAGGGAAGCTGCTAGGTGCAGGAATTTGGCTCCCAGCTCAGGAGGGAACCATGGACAGAATAAAGTGAAACCAGTGT